ACCTCTTTCTCAAATAATCCATCTTAATATTATCCTTCACCTACACCTATGCCTACCAAATGGTCTCTACCCCTTTTAGACTTCTAACCAAAATTCTGGATGTTAAGCAGAAAGAGTACAAGTACGACAACTTGTTACCGAGGATAGAACCGGTGTTCCGTAGCCTAGTTTTTTATCCAACACGGAACACAATTTCTTACCTGCAGCATATTATTGAGCAGATCATCTCGTGACATGGTTTGCATTTTGTCGTCAAGTTCGTTAATAACTACTCTGCACCCAAAGCAGTCATCTACTACATCTGTGGCCTCATCCAACGGAGTAGCTTTGATAAACTTTCCACCTGCCTGTAAACAAGACGCAAATTATATTAACTATGAAATAAGTACCGATGCAAGACATTTACTATAAGTTCATATGTGGTCTGTAGTAAGGCAGATTCAAGCAATTAAATTCAATTAACTTGAGTAATTCAATGAGGATTAAAATTACTGATATTTCCTTCAACTGTTTCAGAATTTTACAAACACTCAAATCTTCACATGATTCTGTCCTCTTACAACATAGTCTTTACTTGATCAGACTACCATCTTGTGTATCTTCCCTCCTCAATTTTTCATATAAATAATCAAATCCTAGCAGGGCTAATCTACATATACAACATGAACACCTTAAGTAGGCGGTTGGTTAATGCCCGCCTGGTGGGGAGTGCGCATATATACACGCTTCTGAAAAAATAACCAAGCTCATAGATGCGCGCCATTTCTGTCATGCCTCAATCGGGTGTTCTGCAATCTAGCAAACATTTTTTTAACTCGGTGGTGCTGCTCCGAGTTGCAGTATGCGCGCTTATGCCGAGATTTGGGTGGCAGGGGAGAAATAGGCAACCACACATGAGAGATCAGTAGTTTTTGGCACAATGATTTTCTCCCAAAGAATTTTATGGAATTGCAAATTCGAACAGTAGGTCCCACAAGACATTAAAAATAACTTATCGTGAATTACTCCACTAAATCCAATGGGAAAAGCAGCGGAAGGCAAATGAAAAATGTGGCGAAATTGTTGGTGAAGAGCTAAAAATTTAAACAATATCAAAATTTTTACTTCCACACCTGATAAATATGTGATGTCCATAATATATAAAAAATTCACCATTATTTTTAATAAAATATAAAAGCCCCACCTGGTGATGAAATGACACAAATTTTGCCCCCACTTAAGGGGTTCATCTTAACCTTTTCATAATATAACATTTCCAACCATCAAAAATTGTATCTGAATTAAAATTACTAATTTTCCATACCAATTTTCATCAGACTCTTCACTAGACTTTCTGATCAAAATTTTGTATGTGTTTCTCATTTCCCCAATATGTGCTACATGATCCTCTAGTCTCTTCTCCCTTGACTAAATCAACTGTTCAAAACTAAAATGTCTGCACAGCGCAGAACGTCAAGGGCTATGCTGTGAGATGTATGGCAGTGGCAGAAGAACTCTGCTATAACTTACCTTACTGTCTGCCAGCTGTTTGTCAACCCATGCATTGTTACACAGTCCGGCCACTGAACACACAACTTGCGGGTTCATCTCTGAAGCCAAAGTTTCTACCAGCTCAGGAATAAACTCATCAGCCAGCTTACAACATTCCTCAGCGACAATCTTTACCGGGATGAAATTGCATGAACCTTCAAACACTTCCTTGAGTTCTTCCTGAAAATAATGAAGTCACTGATTCCGTACATTCTAAACACAAGACATCAGAATCACCGACAATGAACTCAAAGGTTAAGATTACCAAAAAGTCTGACTGAAAAAAAGTTGCTACAAAACGCAAACCTTGGGCGCAATAACAAAGCACTCACAGTGAGTAAAATCTAGATGGTATTGCAGAATCCTACTTATCCAGCAAAAAAAGTTATCGCCGTTTCATTCAAAAATTTAAATTCTAAATTACGACATACAGAGAATTAAGGCGTCGCTCCAGGCGTTCTTAACTGTAGCACTACATGCACGTGAGTGGTCGGCTTGACAACCGAGGAAAGAAACTCAAAATATACCCCAAAATCAGTACTTTACATTACTGCTGGAGTGAATTCAATTTTACCTGCGTTTCATTGCTCTCCAGTTGGTCGCGAGCCTGTTTCACCATGTCCAAACAAATCTTGCAGACGTCGTCGTCATCCGGAGGCAGCTGCTGATGCTCCCACACCGTCTGGATACAATGCTTCACAGCTCCACATGTTTTAGCATTACTAAACAATCAAAACTATCTTAAAGTACTGCTGAATAGAAAGTTCAATCCCATGAGAAAGTCCAAACAAAAGCTATAACCACTTCACACTTAAGTCTTCATTCTTTGTTCTATCCTCACAAGAAATCATAATTTATAAAGCACAGTAGCTGTTATACTGCAAGTTTACTGATGAATTAGCATATGTACACTTTGTGGCAAACACGTAAGGTGACTTTTCTTACAGAGATGTAACAGACTGTCCCAACTTTGGTGGGAAACATCAGCAGATAAAATGTGAGTGTACAGTATTTCTTTACTCTTTTTTTTTCCCCCATCACAACATATACACTGATGACAAAGTTCATTACTGTTACAAAGATAATGAGTTTTAAGATAAGACGGTGGACTGTACATAAATTTATCTGAAAAATTCATTACACAGTAGAATGACCATTTTACTGCACAAACTGTGTAAAAAGCACAGAAAGACGTCCTGCACGTTTCATTAGAGACCACGGTTAAGGCAAGCTTCACATCAAAGTATATCTTAAATCTGATGAAATTATACTCTTTCAGAGGAATAAAATTTGATAAAAATAGGTGCACCAAGTCTTTACCTAAAATATATGTCAATTAAATTTCACAATAAGCTATGCTATGTTAGACACATGTCAAATCAAGAATGAACAATATTTCTGACAAAGCTGTACCCAATAATAAGATTACTTTACGTTCTGTACTTGGATATTTCTTCTCATAACATATAGTTTTAAATATGACTGCTACATACTAAAGAGAAATCAGCAACTTTATGATAACAAAATGTTACAGAAATGCTGTTTTTCCCAAATCTGTTACATTACTTACGTAATATTCCGACACCAATATGACGGTCCCCATGTACATTCTTTGGCACCCAGTAGGCGTGAATAAACTCCAAATGAAACTGCAACAAGCCCCAATGTGTAACAATCCTTTCACATCTTCATATACCACTCATCATGACCCAATATAACAACAATATGGTATCACAGAACCATGCACTGCCCTTGGTTCACTGTATTTTATATTACAAAATTTATCACGTTTATTTGTAGATGTATGTAAAGTTTCAACACACACCTATTTTATTCAATTGTGTTACAAATGTACAAATAATAGCTCCCCCTGATACTTTTCACATTAATGATGTTTTTTCTGTAGCTACTCTCCTACCATTAGCCCACCTACTCAGCAAGTTATACATAATGAATAAATCCCAGTAACTACATTAATATAAAGTATTCAAACAACTCTCAAGATTTTATGATCCATTCCATATTAGTGTACAAACTATAAAATACACATGAAACCACAAGTTACAAAACTGACCACAATGAAAACCAAAAATGCTACCAATATTGCTATCATTTGTACTTTAATCCAACATTTATAATTCCTCCTGCTAGGTCATTTCCAAAATCCACACTCAACTGTAAAGGCTGATAACAGAGAAAGTAAAAGAAAGGGAAAGTAATGGTTGATATAACAGTAATATACTGTTACCTCATGGTATTAAATATTCCAAGAACAAGAAACAATAGGGCTGTTTCTGTACCTATTACAGTGTTTACAACTTGATTTCTGGTATTAATAAAGCATACATAAGTGAAAACAGTATGTGATAAGGTGATGTGTTATCAGTAACCTGGCTTCACGATTCATTATCCACAGCCTAATCAGAAATAAAGTATTGCCAAAACACTGCTTCTTATAAAGAGCAATATTTACTTGACACGAAAATAAAGAGATGCACACTACGTTGTAAACATGGTTAGTATATTAACAGATATCAGAATATCAAACAAAAACCTAACTCTAATTTGGGTTGTAACAGGATAAACAATACATTTTCCGTTTCAGAACTCAACTCATAAGGATATGAAATAGATTAAAGTTGTGGACAACACAGCAATCTGCGCAGCACTGCCAAAGAATTCTTACGATGCAAATTTAATGAACGTACTAAATGCAGGGATACTGACATCGTACTGCATCCTTACCGAATATCAGTCCAAACACAACTGAATACAGCAACTTCATCTTCGTTGTCAAAGATATACTTTGACACAGGGGTTAATTTTACACCGATTTCCCTACGTTAATTGCAATGATTCAGTGAAACTTACGAACACCATTTAATACCCAAACGTTCTGTACAGACAACCAACGCAAACAGGACAGAAATAAAAATGCTGCCACCACCACAACGTCAAGGTGACTAGGAAACCAATGATGCCAATACCCACAATGTTCAGCTGAGATATCAGTGGCGTGCGGTAATACAAATAATTTTAATTTGCATTTAAGGCGCAGAACGGCTGGGGCTTCACGTGAATAAAATAAAAGTACTGTGGGGAGATTATGCGTGTCGACCGTCCACGTTTTGTTTCTATAATGCTGAATGTATCAAATTATATTTTGCGTTGGGTTGTATCATACACTGCACTACAAGAAACAGCACGGAAAATCTGATCTCTGCTCGTATCGGTATTGTATGAAAAAATACAAAATTCGGATAGAATATCAGTTTTATATAAAAAAGGAGACAGGCTACTTATCGCACCAAAATTTAGATGGTAAAATATCGATTTCACCAAGGTCTGCAACTCCAGGACAGACTCATGACATGAAGATAAGCAAATACAGGCTTCGAAATTTGATAAATTTAGTTCAAATATGTGGGAACGATGGTAAAAAGTCAAAATTACATCCACGAAGAAATTAAGAGCATATTATATTATGGAAATTCTTAATACCATAGAGTTCAGATTCCTTTGTCTTCTCGGCCAGTTTCTAAAACGGAAAGATTAAAACATCTTTCGTTTTGTACGGGTGTAAAACCTGTTTCTCACATTTTAGGAGATTTTGGGGGTGCTTAAGGACTGGGAGCTGAGGAGAATATTATGATTTTTTGAAAGATAATGTAATAAGAAGCTGGAGAAAATGACGTACTAAGGAGCTCAATAATATGTTCTTGTCATTGTATATTATTAGGATAAACGAATTAAGGATGATGTTGTGATGTGAGTAGGGCGTGTAGAACGCATAGGGGAGATAAGAAATAAATACAAAATGTGGATGGGGAAGCCTGAAAGGAAGTGATCAGTCAGAATACCTAGGCGCAAATGGAAGGACAATATTAAAACGGAGGGAGAATGTGGATTAAATGAATTTGGCTCAGGACAGGGACCAGTGGCGAGGTCTTGTGTCTGGTTAAGGCAAATAAACTTTCAGTTTCCGTAAAATACGAAACACTTCCTTTACTTTACCCCCCACCAAGGAGTTAGTCAATGTTTAAAAATGTATTTTAAAACATTTATTTTCAGTACATTAGTAAAACGTAAAAATAAAGATAATATTCTGAGTTGTTGCGCCCTGTAATGTTTTTGGAATACGCCCAGAAACCCGGTATCAGATTTAGCGTATCTGTAAAAAAAAAAAACTCAAATCCTAAAATACAAAAATAAGTCGTGTGCATTTTTATACATTTTTCGATCATTGGCTTTGAAATAATAGCTCTATATCGGCCATTACCTGCCAAACATTTCTAACGTCCTCAAAAGTCGTTATCATATGTGTATTTCCGTTAAGTTTTCTTGTATTTAAATAAAATGTCAATGGGCTCAGCAATGCATAAATGATTACGTAACTCAAATGGAAATAAAGAGCAACTGAGAAAAATCAAGGTGACCTTGGGAAGATCTTGATTCTCAGGCCGTGTTTCGGTCTCAGGATTAGTTCTCCCAGAAGAGTGAGATTCTCTCTTCTGTCCACAGCTTCCACTCGGTACTTTCTCAGTATTGAGGCGATCACAGCCTTTTCCTCAAGCAATGCGAATTTCTGACCTACGGAAATAAAAATTAAAACTTACGTCAGAATTAAAACGACCTGAAGGAGACGCTGTGAGAAACGCGTGATCTAGCCACCTGTCGCGGCTTGTAACCCGAAAGTCTTTAATCAGTCACATGCAATGGTAATTAGTCATTTCTAAATAAGTATTATAAATGAGATGATAAAGTTGCGTCATATTGTGATAAATATATATTTGTTTAAATCTTGTCAGTCTAATCACAATAAAATTCCTATTAAATATTAAAATATTACTAAAATTAACATTTAAATATTTAAAATGATGTTCTCTATCGAAATGTTCGATTTACATTAGATCATCACTTTTTTTGAAACATGTCGTGTAAAAAGTGATGATCTAATGTAAATCGAACATTTCGATAGAGAACATCATTTTAAATATTTAAATGTTAATTTTAGTAATATTTTAATATTTAATAGGAATTTTATTGTGATTAGACTGACAAGATTTAAACAAAAAAGTATTATAAAATAAAAAAGACAATGCAAAAATTCGATATATTACGATTACGAAAACTGACTTTATTAATGAATTTTTATTTAAAGAAAGCGCTCCGAAAGGAGCGTGTTGATCTAGTTATTAATTAAAACATCACCTTATAGTCGGGCGAATACGATAATTAAATTTGCTGACCTATGCAATTTCTGGGGCCCGCACTAAAAGGGATGTACGCATAAGGATGTCGGCCTATCACATTCTCCTTCAAGAATCGATCTGGGTTAAATTGCTCTGGTTGTGGAAATGATTCTGGGTTTCGATGAAGCATGTACGTAATAATAAGTGCCGTGGTTCCAGCAGGTACGGTGTAATGCGCTGTGAACAGAGAAGGCAAAATTTGAATAAAAATTATAACAATTAGGAATCGTTTACACTTCCTGAATTCGAAAACGGTGTACTGAGGGAAAAGAAATCTAGTTCATTTTCATATCCCTGGAAACAGTCTGGTAACAGGTTTAATGAGATTTGTATCTGAACACATAATCATTTCTAACTTAAATCTTGAATCACTGTAGGCGGCCTTCGGGGCCAAGATTCGAACCTTACACCTTCCAAACACTAAGCAGGAGAACTAACCATCACATCGCGACCAGATTCTGTTGTTTCATTTGAAATAAATAAATATTCAAGTAAAATAAACAGGCACTATATACTTTTATTTTATGCACTTCCTGAAAATAACCCATCAAGAAAAAATATTTTCAATGCGTGATTAGGAAACCCCTAAAGTTATTCTGGAACAGGTCGCGTTTATGTTAGGGGCAATGTCGAGAACAGGCGACAAATAAACCCAACAAACGCGCAGTCAAATCAAATGTAAACAGAGGCTATATTTAATACTGTCGAAATTTGGCAGTTCGACAAGAATCGTCTCAAAATATCATGGAGAGAACACTAAAAGTGTTGTAAATTGGAGATCAGAATCTTATTCTTTTCGTAAATACAAATTTATTTACTGTCAGTTTACAATACGGATACCTGCACGTTTATACATTATTTATATGCACAAATATATAAAGTAAACCCATAAGGATGAATTTTGTTCATCTGTATGTTCAGTCCCTTTTAAACGTCTCGACGGATTTAAATTAAATTTGGTACTTTTCGAGTACACACTGTCTTTCGGTCCAATATGCCTACATTTGCCTATTTACGCTGTGTTTATAGTTATTTCAAATAACACAGTTTATCTACTTACATTATTTATATTTAATAACATTAAATACAGAATTATTAAAATTAAAGAACACGCAGAAAATCAGTGGCATATAAAGAGATATTAATACGAGTTGTATACTAGAAATTTACGATGTGTCTATGACGCCACTGATACAAAACACGGTTTTGCGTATAGGAATTTATTAAGTGTGCTGTTGGCAGACCTGCGGATGTAGTGTTTGGTCATGTGTTATCATGATACCGTGGTTGACATTGTGATGTTAGCAATGCTCAGCTAGACAAGTATTGATAGTCAGAAATACCACGAACCACTCATGTGACGCTGAATCATATATCGTTACTCACTGCCTTTGAAACTTTGCACTGCGCAAGTACGCAGCTACGCTATTCATTTGTCACAGTCTTTTGTTTCGACACTACGGAAAACAAACGCTTCAGCGTAAATATACGACGAAACAGGAAGAGTTATGGGATGCATTTAAAATGTTTATTCGTGTAATATGTTTAGTTAGGATAAAACGATAATATAAATATATGTCATAATCACAACACTGGACACACCCAACCGAAAGCTTTGCACGAGAGAAGAAAGAACGCCGAACAAAATTGTTACTTTGAAAAATTGTAATTTTTCCAGCTGTGACCAAAAAACAAAAACGTTGCATGGAGCAGAGTCCTCCTTGAGAAGCTGATAATGGCTCAGCTTGTCAAATTTACATTTTTGTAATATTATTACTATTTTTTGTAAAAATATATGGTTACTGCCTAAATTAAGTATCCAATTATTAAGTGAAGAACGAAGTTTTTTCTTTCTAACACGCGGAACACTCGAACAAATTACTTCAAACTTTTTAAATCGATATATTAAATCGTGACATACCATCATATAGTATTTCGAAAAAGAACACGCCGCCATTTCGGTCACTGGGCTCGTTTCCTTCTCAAAATATCCTATTCGGATCATCCCTGTTACACGATGGACAAATTCCGAAACACGTAATACTAACTGCAGTATAACATTTATGATTAGTTGAGTAGCCTACCCATGTTGATGTCTTCGTTTATCTGACGCGCAATAATTGGGACGCTCGGGTACAGGCGCAGGGCTTCCTTTATGCAGCATTCCAAGTACTTCATTTCGTTCAAGTCCTTCATCGTGATGCCCTGTTCTGCGCCCGGGCCAAGGATCCCGTCGATTTCCTGGATCACTTTCGTCTGTGCAGAGAATATTCTTCGTAGAGCATAATAACAGCAATTGTTTAATTTCTACCCGAAAGCTTGTGACGTTCAACCCGATGTTACTCAGAGTGCATCAAACAATTGAATTAATTTTTATAAAAAAATCTTGTTAACAATTGGTACTTCGTACTCTAACTGAAGCTGTTAGACGTTAAGATAAGTTTCATGATTTCTACAGGAATTGTAATCAAAAATTACAATTGTTGTAAACAAACCCAGTAAATACGTTTCCATAATCAGGTTACAGCAACATCTAAAGGTTTGTAGCAATGTTCCGTCCATATATCGGTATTAAATTGGACACTGTCCTTTCCTTAATGTATACGCAAGGACATTGAATCGAGTTGGTCGGTAATGTGACATTAAGTTATACCGACCTGTATGTCAGGTTGACCACCTAGTAAGAACAGAGCCCAAGAGATGGCAGCAGAAGTCGTATCGTGGCCCTATGAAGAAAGATGGCGTAGTTAGCATTCGATGACATTGAATATCCTAGCGAATAATTTTTGCTTTAAGCTAAGTCTGACCCATTGTAGTCTGTGGTTCCCACGAGACGGAAACTAGGATTGGAACTCCAGAATCATAAATAAATTGATTTTCGCGATAAATTGCTTTTGTTAAATGTAATAATAGGATGGTAAATAGAAGAATTTAAGAACGAACATTGACAAACCTCGAACATAAATGTATCCACTTCTTCTCGAATGTCTTCATTTGATAGTACGGCACCATCTCGCGAAGCCTCTATCAAAAGATCCAAGAAGGCGAGACGTTTCTTACGCCCTAAACAATGCACAAATACGTCACACAGGATTTCGAATTAGGCGTTTACAGTAACAAACAGAAACAAAAACTTGGCTTTGAATACTCGTACAATTTCTTGGGTACAATCCAATTGAAGAAATCTGATTTATTCGAACAAACAATTCAAGATCACGCCCACAAGTCATATAATTTTGTAAAAGAGAGTTATTAAACCATCAGCTGATTTATAGATTTGTTATTATTATTGTTTACTGTGTTCGGCAGCCCGCATAGCAGAGAGAAAAATGGCGTACAGGATTTTAATCAGAAAACCTAAACGTAATGGGAGGATAATATTAAAATTGAATTTCAGTAAATAGGGTGTGAGGATGTGAACTGAATCTTAGTGTCCCGCGGCGGAATTTCTTAAGGGCGTTAATTAAACTTCGGTTTCCGTAAATGGACAATTTTGCTTCTCAACTAAGAATCTGCCCCGTGGAATTAATTCATCGTCTTACCAAATGTGTTTGTGTCTTCGTCCGACACTGTCGACGCCATCTTGTTCTTTTCCCGCAGTTTGGCGAATTCTTCCTTCCGCTCTTGTATTACCTGCAGTTTTGGATAGACAGTTTAAATAAGAATTCGGATCTTTTTTGTTACAAAATCACTTAACATTCGAGGTTCTCGCAGAGGCGAGAATGAAAATGGCTGTCTCCCGGGTTATTGGGCAGTGTGCTTTGATACAAGTTTATAGAAATTGCTGTTTCCATCATCAGGGCTATAAGTCCTCGCTCTCATGATGGAGGCAAAAAATACCACCGAAACGCTGGCAGACTTATGCCAGACTACAGCTGTCTTCGTGCTTACCTTGTTTGAAAATCCGTGCAGAATTTTGATGCATTTCTCGTGGGTTTTGTACATATGTGTCCAGCGGAACATCCAGTCGGGCTGGAGCCATAGTTTGGACTGACGATTTTGAATTATCGAACCGATTCTAAAATACAAATGGTTCATCAACTTGCAAATAAAATCACTGCCATTTCCTAATGATTAGATTTAGCCCTCCCTAACGGACTAATCTCAGTAGGGACCCTACACCTGTAGATAGAAGCAGATATAGCGCCCGAAACATGGTAAACTGTTTGTAGCGTATAGGACGATAGACGATGTCGAATTAAAACTATAGATATTAACTTTCATTTGCCATTTTTGGTACTCTTTAAGACTGTGCCATACACGTTCGCGCTGTGACTACTTTACCCAAAAGGGGCCCCATTGGTCTCCAGAGTCGGTCATGACGAGGAAATGAATGACGGTCATCCGGTTCTTAGCTAGCGACTCCACTAACAAAGGCCTTATTTCTTTGATTCTGTCACACTCTGTACTTAATATTTCTACAAATTTAAGGCGAAAAACAATTTGTAATCTTCAGCAGTCCAAGGTCATTTGCAGACTTAAGACCATAAACAGCTGACACTTACTCGTACACAGCTTTCACGTATTCTGATTGACTGTCTCCCTGGGCGTTCACCTGTCGACCCATGGCAGTTTCTGAAACAGCCACGTTTGTGCTTACAGGTTGATCTGAAACGTCGTTCTTAAAATCGAGAAATATTTAGAACATAAGCCGATATGTGTCTTACAGTATGGCGTGTATCTACACACGTCTATTTGAAACGCGTTTTTTTCTACTCTCGATATCCGCGGTTTTATTTCAATGCCAACAGCAGCGTCAATATATCGTCTCCATCTTCAGCCCTGAGGATGGAGGCAGTATATTTCTGCGTTACGTCGGTCATCTGCATACAAGTCCACATGGAGTTACAACGCAGTAAACCAACATCGACATATTTATTATAAGCAATATATTCTTGTTTCCATTTTAAATGTAATTTTATTTAATAAACGTAAAATATTTTTAAATTTTGTTGGCCGGATAACATTTAGAGACCATAAAATGAGGAGTCACTCCTCTCGTATCTCGTTCCTTGTTCAGAAGTCGACTCCATAAAGAGGAAATGCTTATGATTCGAAAGTAAGTGCAGAACAACGAGAAGGCGTGGAAATCGGGGCCAAGGGACAGTGGAGCGGGGTTTAATTCCGGAATTCCTCAGCGCTATCCAATCTTTGGCCATTTATAAGAGCACAGATCTCGCATTCTCTATAATTTCGGTAACACGTCTTAACTGCGTGTACTCACCACATATGACGTCGAGCGCACAATGAGTTATATAAGGGAAGATGTTGAAGCCAGCTTCATTGCCGATCTCACGTTCCAACTTTTTTACGAGGATTGAACTCTGTTCTAGAAATACATCGATGAAATCTTCCAAAATCTTGAAGTGAAACGCAGGAGTCAGGATTTTTCGACGGCTGTGCCATTTTGAGCCTAAAATTTGGAAGGTGAATAAGACAAATGAAATGCAATTGAATATGAAAATGTTTGTTCCAAGAGAACTCGTTGGGAAAATTTTGATATATTTTTTGTTTTTCGTTTATAGGAGATTAAAGTCACAGATGAAATTCCTAGTTAACAGTCAATTGTAACTATTCTACTTTATTTATACCAACAAGTTAGTTACTAACTAACCAAACAACGAATTCCACGGAGCAAAGTAATTCTTGAGAGATAGTCCAAGAGATTCCTCTCAACTTTTATGGTACACTTTGGTTTATCAGTGTCCATAAACTCCTGCCACCAGGCCGTATTTTGATCCACACAAATCCAATCCACAAACTCCCACTCTATTTATTTACGATTAATTTTACTAGTTGCATTCCAGGTATCCTCTTACCTTCACATATTAAATACAGGCCTATATCAGAGAATTTTATTGTGAGTGTGATGATCTTACCTGAACTGGTAAGAAGGCCAGTTCCCAGCCAGGGGTGCAAATAGGAGTAGTCTTTGCTTTTGTCTATATGCTTATTACTGCTGAGGATTGGCTGAAACACAGCGTTATGGACATAACAAAGATTTATTTCTGCGCTGTAGCTTAAAATGTGTTTGTTTTGTTAATCTGGTCACTCATGACAACTTCTGTGGGATGAATAATTCTGTCAGGTATATAGATAAGCCACTGATGGTGAGGTATAAACGAGCTATCGGTCTTCAGTAACTTCGTTAGATATTTTAAACGCTTTCTAAAGAAGATTTCATATTAATTTTGAATGCAAACTAAAAATTTTAAGTACGGTAACAATAATTATATTATTTTGAAGTTTGTTCTGTATTGCAATTAATATTAAGGCTTATCCCAGTTGCTAGTAGCGGCATATCATACAACACCGTTTAAATAAAACATAAGAAATTAAAATTTAAAAAAAATTACTTAATCAAGGCCCTTACATGTCACATTTAGGTTTCTTTACACAAAACAAGTTTCCGTACCTCGACTCTGTCCGGGTGGAAGACGGTAATATAAGGCTTGGTGCCGTTCCACATGCGGTTCACACCCACGCGTCTGCCCCATAGCTTCGTCGACCCCATCAACCGCTCCAGCAGCTCTGAAACCCAAGTTTACATCCCTTACTAACAAAGTCAACAGACACAGACACTGATAATTACTTATTTTAATTCATGAAGGCGAGGTTTTTCGTAATTTTATTCATTACTTTCAGGTCAATATTGGAATTATACCTGAAATTATCACCGGCTCTTACTGATTAGTCCTTGGGGTATGTTCCAATTTAGAATGACTTCTGAAATTATGAATCAATTCAAACTTTTGGCAGGATTACTTGATTGAGTGACCAACCCTACGCAGAACGACACAGTAAGACGACGACAGACATGCCTTGAGCGGGATTAAAACCCGCGATTCTAGTGCCGAAGCTAGAATGAAATCGGAAAAATTCTGAAAAATTTCAACCTATCTTATGAGCCTATTTTATTATTTACTAAAACACAATAAATAAAAATATTATTCCGGTACCGGGAATCGAACCCGAGCCTCCTGGGTGAAAGCCAGGTATCCTAGCCACTAGACCATACCGGACCATGTCAAAATATCCTTGAAGTCATTATATATATATATAAAGTACATTAATTTTCTAGAAACATCAATGCTTGCAGGCTTGCTTGTCCCTTTTGCAAAAAAAAGTTGTGACATAATTTTTCAATTTAAAACTGAATTACTCTAGTTTCTTTACAGCGTAACATAATGTGTAATGAATCTAGCAAATGGCGGAGAAAGTAACAAAGAAGATAAGGAATTAATTAAGATAACACCAATCTGCTGTACTGACATTTCTTACGTATTTAAATGTTTCATACAATTGCCGCCAAGTCAAAGACAGAAACTATTTGCAAGAGAACTTTATTTTTGTCCAAACCCCCTTCTCCTGCAGTGTCGACATAAATAGTATACTCTGCCATGTTGTCTTTGCTAACGTACTTATGTTCTTGTTAATTTGCATTAACAAGTTTATGGACCTAAATTTAAAACAGCTAACATATGAAACGTTTAGCGAAATTCTGAGTCAGTAACTCAACCACAGTTTGTCCATGAATTTCGAGGGAACTTGAATAGCGCATATTTTATATACGTATATATAATTTTAAAATTCGTGGACTGTAATAACATTTGTTTGTCAAATACACTTATATTTACCTTCAGATAAGTCTGAACAGCTTCTGGCACTATTTGCTGAATTGAAGGTCGAACGAGGAAAGGAATAATTATATGCAAACAAAACACTATAGCCTAATATCTCTTCATGAGTAGGGTCTGAGGTTCTCATAGCTTCGATTATGAAGATGGCTGTCTTGCCATGTCTCTGTAGTGCCATGTAGTTTCGTAATTTACAAACGGCGCCTCAGATCGAGGAGACAGCCATCTTCGTCTCTTCATAAATTTCAAACACAGGAAAACAAACCTGTGGGCACAGTTCTTTCTGATAAGTTCTGGTTAATAAATTATTTTTCCTTTTACGACGCCGAACTTTCATTACAGTGTCCACAATCTCGCCACTCAATCTTCTATCTAGCAATACTATATTTCTTTAAGATCAGTTTTTAATATTATCCTCAAATCCCTCCTTGCGTTTTCAGTTACATCATCTCATGTTTCTGGACTTACGAGTAAATGCGTGTTGGTTTCTAACCTAACCTACACGTTCTGCATATTTCATCGTATCATGGACAAATGGATAGTTCCAATATGACTTCCTGTTAGTGTCTTGATTTAACTAACATTCCTAAATGACACTATAATCATCCTTACATATCACGCACCCGACTGACAAATTTATGTAACTATGGACTGACCACGTCTTAGCCTGTCTTTGCTTACGTCATCTTGTCTGCTCGCGTCTTGTGTTGACTAACCGGTGTTTGTTCAGACTAGTTAGGCAAACAAGAACGCGTAGTACTCCAGCTATTGGCGTAACTGAAAGTTTATTACAGATTTGAAGTAAAATTATCATCCACCACATAAAATAAAAAAACAGATATCATGGATGGCTTTCGTTCAACCACTAATATTAATGCATTTTCTTCATCGGTGCACTAACATTTCATTGATAAAAATTTCGTATCATTCGTTGCTTTATCATCTGGTGCATCGTTAGTCATTATTGTGTGTCCGAATTTGGTTACGACCACATAACTGATGACACAAAATTTGTACTTGATATGAAAATGACATCGTTGTGAAGTAGCCTTATACGGAGGCAAACACATTTTAGATTAAATACTTCAACCAAATCCCTTGTTTCGAATTTGTAGTGTTTAAGTAGTATTTTATTTTGCTAAATTGAAGAGCGTAGTTATTTAGAAGCTTAAGTTACTCAGACATACAAATTCAACTATCACTTACCAACCCTCCATGTTTTTATAAAGGAGAAATTTAAATTTGCATTAAAATATACCTAAAATACACGGCCTTCATTCTGTTAATGAATTCCTGCAGTTTAAAGGTGACTTTTAACTCCTTTAGTGGTTATGCTTATGCAGCATAAATTAACATTAACATATCTGCTGTGTAGCATAGAGTTCAGTGTAACATTTTAATATGTTTTTATGTTAAACCATTACCGTTTGTGATACCTAAATAATATTTCAATTTGCCCTCATTTTTATGTTCTGTACTTTATAAATTTTCCTCATTTTATAGTCAGTCTGGCCAACGTTTGAATCCATGGAATGCAAATATGAATGTCACCTAGACATTTCCCTTTTACGTGCATTTATGTAGAAAGAAGTGCAGTTACAACTGAACAGCATGAAACAAACCGTCATGTTCCACGTTCAACTCGATGGTATTCCCGATTAAGGGTAGTGATGGCGGTCCTGGAATCCTGTCTATGAGGCGAACCATACGAGCCCTTCTCTTTTGGTACCTGTGCCAGGCCACCAAAACATATACCAGAAGCACCACAACCACGGCACTTAGCAGCGACAAGTCCCACATCTCACCACCTGAAAAACATCGACCGACCTTAGTTATTCAACGACGCTTCGACGTATATCATCGGATGAGACGAGAAGACTATAATGAATGTGAAGCAGATAAGGATTTGAAAAGAGGTGGTCGTGGCCTATATAAAGATGCTATCCCAGCATTCGGCTAGAGGAACTGAGGAAGATGCCTTAACCTATGTGACAATGAAAACAGGTACTTCGAACGCAAGGTAGAGTGGTTGATTAGCAATCACGATTCGTGTTCGCGAAGTCCCAGGTCCGGACACTAAAAAAAATCTGCTGTCCCACTATACACCAAAAAGGTGCTTGAGGGGAGGGGTAAGTATGGCTCTTACTCATTCTTAACCCAGCACTAGACAGGGGTCAACGTGACGCCCCGGCCGCGGTAGACTCCCGGGAAAGGACCCCGGTACTCATTGGATAGGACACTGGGTGAGCCCCAGCACAGTCCTGGACGCAGAGACTAGAGGAAAAATTCCTCTGACCCCATCGAGGATCGAAACTTGGTCGTCCAGTCCGTAGCCAGTCACTACACTGACTGAGGTTCAGACATTGGCTATCCTAAGTTTTTCGTGGTTTGCTTCAGTCTCTGTAGACAAATGCTTGAGTAACACTTTACGAAGGACATGACCCTTTTTCCCCCATATCATTTCCATCTCAATTATTTAACCAGTCTATCATCTAACGCTTTATACTCTGAGCAACTGAAAACGTCTTCAAACAAAGAACAAATTAAATGAGAACTTGAAAAATACAACAAGAGTACACATTATCGCTACACTAAACTTTTCAGTGTACGCCATGATAATCCAATAAAATAGCATTGTTCTGTCTATTCCTTAGCAGTAATAGGAAATTAATAGAATGGAGGTAAGGCTCCATGCTTTCTCAAATATAAATGAGCGGAGAACTGATTCGACCTTGAAGTCCCGACGTTATGCCGAGTGCTGTCCTAGAAACATTTCTCTTTACCAAAATAAAAATTGTTTCAAGTGTTGCAGTAATATTCATTATACTATGGGTCTGTTAAAAGTAACCGGACAAAGATACTAAATTTCTATCAGACTGTGAAATACTAAAAACAGAAGAATGAGCCTAAAAGCTATACTACTAGAAAAGCAACGGAAAACTGTGAGTCAGCCGATGTTTCCATATTACGTAATAGAACGGCTCTGCGCCTGCGCGGAAGGGTACTTTTGTTTGAAGATCGACACAATCAGCCGCTCGAACAGTAGCATTTTTTTTCGAAAAGTTGGCTCACAGCCCAAAATTGTGTATGGCACAACAACGAGGAAGATCACCATTTACACTGACATCATAAAGGCCTCACAACAAAGCACTAACTAAATACGTAATACGCCTATACTTTGGCTTCATTAGCATGATGTCTCGCAACTAATTGTGTCATTGAAGGTTATCAAAACTAACCTTCCTCGTTCTGTGAGAGAATAAACCTACTACTTCTGTGCCACATTGTAAGGACATCCTTCAGTTTCTCGCCTCACTGATTACCGACACATCAATGTTGTTTGTTTATGTAAATAATACGTGATCAAAAAATCAGATATGAAATCTGACGTAATGCGCACATCGGTACATAGTGAGCTTAGTAAACTGCACCTCATTTAATGAAAATTGGAATCTATCGGGCTGTGACATTTTATGAGATGTACTCTATTGGTTAATCACGTGTTTATTCTAAAAATCGTATAAGGGACAAATGAAATTTATAGGCAAAATGTGGAATTAGTGGCTGTTAAAGTAGGCGGTATTTATAGGTAGGAACTGTCACAGGATTTTAAAACGCTTGTAGCATCGGTAGAAAATTGTGTGTATGTACACTTCCATTAATATACCTACACTCAATTAAAAACATTAATTCCTGGAACAGAGTAGTTCTTGTGAAGCTCATAGTCGCTCAGCTGACAAGAAAAATCCCGTCTTTAATGGAACCCAAAATTTGATTTTCATGTTCACATGAAACTGTCACTGGACGCTTTTTCGAGCCAGTTATATGCCATGAACACATCAAAACCCTATTTTCTGAGATTCATCTTAAACATGACCTCTCAACTAGGTCAAGATATGTTGCCTTCAGATTTTCGATTTCTATCTTCTCGCCGTGTAGCGAAGTTCTGCCTGTGACACCCTCCTGGATTTTATAAACCCAATACTATTTGGGGAAGAGTTAGAATTATTAAAGTCTTTATAATGCAATTTTTACCAAAAATATTGTTACGTTCTCTTTGTTATGTCTATATATTATCCTTGGCACCGTGTTCTCAAACACATTCGATCAATGTTAACGAATGTGTTAAACTTTGGAAGTGTAAACATGACACTTAGAAGTCAGAAAATATGCATACAGAAATAAACAGCTACGTAAGACATAGTTTTGTTCATTCTGGTTTCTTAGTTATTTTTGTAATGAACTGGCCCCAGACAAATATAAATCAGCGGTTGAATAACACTGACAGTTGAAAACCGATAACTCGGAGAAAGTCTTGTCCCAATTCCACTTTGTGCAACACAAATCCTTCACAGACTGACCTGGCAGAGAATTACGTCTGAGCTATGGCACTCTCTTCTGGTTTAATGCAACCTGTAACTAACACGGGCCTCTAATCGAACGTTGTTATTTTTTTTGTACAGAAACTGCGAAATTGTACTTACCAGATTTAACAACAATCAAATACCAATCGAGAGCAAAGACTTGGCACTCACAGAAATAATGTTTTCCTTCTAACCTGTTCCGAAGCTGCTGACAGTCGACTGATAGCCTCTCGTGAAGGACTAACAATTCACTCTCAAGTTTGTTGTTTAAAAACAAACACTGGACTCGGTAACCAAACAAGAAGCTGCTTACAGAGTCGCGAGTTTCAGCCACTTAAATAGTCTGCAGGTTTTGAAAAGCTGACTGCCTCAGAGACGTTTATTGACCATATGACTATAAATCATAATCCTAGGATATACCATTAGATTATGACTTACAATCAGTAATCTGTGAGCCGCTATACTAATTTTTATATCTGAAAAGTGTCAGAATGATATGATGTCTACTAAGTGGGCACAGGATGTGTTGAATAGGCCCCTTTCATAATATGAACATGTCGAAATATCTACCGATTAGGATGATTATGTTTCAATTAAAATCTGCAGCTCTCTTTTCAGTACTTGTTTCTTACACACTATTCTTATTCTAGCTGACATAAAATTAATTGTTGAAAACAAAGACACAATATTTTGCTTTAATTAAATTAAAGTCTGGCAGTCAATGAGTAAAGGTCACTTAATTTTCACTATACAATGCACCAAAATCATTCTTCAAACTGGTGAAGGAACAATGACATAACTCTTGATTTCTCTTTTCGTTTCATAATTTACTCCCACCACATCCATCGAAATTCAAGGAATTAAAATGGCGATGCTAAAGTAATCACGAAATTAAGTCCTATGTATGCTTTTTACTTTTAGACACATTCAGTCATGATTGTAATGACAATCGGTTAATATATTTTTAAAAGAGTATTAGTTTGGTTGCTGGCCTGGAAGCAGGTTGTACACTACTAGATTATAAACAAAATGAAGCAATCTTGGAAGAATTATCTAAATGACTGAAAACAACATAAAAGAAGAATGGATAAAATATTATCATTCAAGTTTAGCAGGAAGTTACAGAAGACCAAATGTCCTAGTACCCTACAGGTTGATAATAATGATGACGCACTTATACATTCTGAAAATTAATAGTGAAGTCTCAATATCTGAGTTCTTCGCCCTAAGCATGAATTCCGGGATGATTTTAAGCAACTACGGCATAATTTGCAACTTATATGAAATAAAAGACCCCCAAAACAACGCGTACGTTTAAGAAGGATTTCTCAGTTCTTCGATGTTTTATTTTAACGTCTTTCATTAAGTCAAAACACAACAACAAAATACACAAACTAAAATTATTTCTAAATTTTGTAAAAAGCCCTTGGAAGTTTCCTTTTGTATCTTATTTCCTCGCCCTCTTTATACCTTTGTCCTCCTTTTCTCCTTTCTTCCAGCCTTATTTCTTCTTTTATTTTTCCATTCGTATCTTTAATTTCTTCTTTTTTCCTTGTTTATTTCCACATAAATCAGTGTCCTCATTCATCACCTTTCATTGCTACTGCATTCCTCTTTATAGATCACATTGTCATTTTTTTTAGTTATTAGGGAAAGTACCCACTCAGTTGCGACACCCATCGCACAGGATTTATTCTACTCCATGTCATATTAAAATCTCACAAAAACAAAAGGCCTTATTGCTAATTACTCTTTTGGACTTAAACAGAATATGTTTCCACCCAGCGCCATTACCGAGAACATTTTGTAACAGTCGTGTTACATTTTACAAAACGTTTTCCGAGAGGTTCGAGCTGAAATATTTTGTGACAGTAACCAACCAATTCATACTACCTTTGTCAGAAAGACGAACAGGCAAGGACTGGGAACCTTCCAACAAAGTAATACTGTTTATCACACCTAAATCAAGTCTAACTCATCTTTCCCCATTCGCCCACAATTCTCTCTTCGTTACTACAAATTTGTCTGCAGAGAGTTAAAATGTTTCAGACGTTGATTAAACAGTACAGAGATTCTGAACAGGTCTGACTATTGTACGAACGAAGTTTTCCATAAATGTAAAATCACGGAACTTAATATTAATTACGTTTCACTGCATAATTTTCGTTACTTTCAAATGAGATGTCGCGTTTGTTTATGGTTCCTTGAAAGCTCGTATAGACGTAATTTAACGTGAGATTCTTAAATTAAGTTAACGTCTTAGATTAGACAAAATGACGGAAGTCCGGTCAGTTAATTTGCTGCGTAATTTTGATATTAATGGCACACAGTACTGATTGTAGGTCACCTGCTTTGATTTTCATGAAAGTTGTTGAGTTCTCACATCGATGAGTATAAAGATGGCTGTATTTCGGGATGTTGCACCGTATGTTCTGGTAGAAATG